CGCAATATCGTTTTCATTAAATGGCTTTAATACACTCCTGTGCGGGGATTCTTGTGATAAAACCGCATATTTGTTGATTTTGTGTGATATATTTAATTTTATGTTTTCTTCTTAAGAAATTGTGGTGGAATTTATTGTTGATTAGGCCTTCCATACTGACGCTAGCGAACACGATGCTAGTTTAAGAATACCAATGCAACTACGCGGGAAATAGGGCATATACGTAAAAAAGTATATTGATTGGTTAATGAGCATAGCCAATACGAACTTAGGAATTTATAAAATAAGAGTCAACACTTTGTTGCTTTTTTCAATCACGACAGTCGTTGCAAAAAAGGCCAATATGTTATCCCGGATCAGTTATGTTATATGATTATACTCAACATTGTATAATAAACTTATAATTGTAGATGACAACTCATGTGAAAAGTTATTTTTGTGTATGATGAACTGTAAAATATATCTTGCAAATACTATCTAAAAAAAAGTATGCCTAATCAGTATTCTCTCCTTTTTAAATAATCTTGATTCATTTAAATCCATGCAAACTCATTTCATTACGATTAACACTTATATAATATTTTACTTGTTTGTGTTCATTGTATGTTAATGGTTTTAATTCTATAGACATATGAAACAAATAATTTCAGATGCTTGGATTTATAATGCTCGAAATACTCAATTATTTTGCATCATTTAGAATTTTTTTCTTAAACTTTATGGAGCAGATTATATAATTGTCTAATTCTTTTCTTGAATAAATGTATGTCAGTCCGTCTCTCTGTTTGTCCGTCACAAAACTACACAAGACTACTCCTCAAAAACAACTTATACAATTTCATCCAAACTTTTCAGGAATTATCAGTGCCAAGTCTAGTTGGGCATACCTCGGTATTTTCCGGTTCAATGATTTTTGTTAGAGTAATGGCCTTCTTATACCACTAACGAAATTTCAATGAAACTTTACAGGATTGATCAGTAGCTCAAGTACTTACGCATTTTACTTTGAGTTTTTGCTTGTAAGATTAACGAGTTATGGTCCTTCCATAAGAAAGGTGGTTTTTCGTGTTTCCAATTACACAGAAGCTTGTCCGGACTTCTTCTCAAATACTTTTGGTGCAATTTATCGAAAACTTTACAAGAATGATAAGTACCAAGTCTAGCTGTGCAGTATGTGCATATCGTCGGCATTTTTGGTTCAATGATTTTGGCCGAGTTATGGCCCTTTAATGATTTTAATACACTCCTTTTATACCATTAACGCAATTTCAATTAAATTTTACTCTATGATCAATACTAATTCTAGTTGTGCATATCATCGGCATATTTTGGTTCAATGATTTTGTCAGAGTTATGGCTCTCTTTTCATTTTTATTTTTGAAATTTATCCGGACTACAACTACTGCTTTTTTACCACTATTGCAATTTCAGTGCAACTTTACAGGATTAATCGGTACTTCAAATTCTTGCACGGGTTTTCCACTTGAATGATATTTTGGCGAAGTTATAGCTCTTGAATAAAAAATGCGTTTTGCACAGTTGATGATTGTGTCTCCTGCTACACAGTAGCTGCAACATGCAATTTGCTTTCATGAGGCATCACCATCTATCAAAGCCATATAGCACCAGTTGTAAAAGCAACGTCACCATTGGACAATTAATCAAAAAGATATCACCACTGTAAATATGTGTTTATAATATATATAATATTATAATACTGCACATTTGTAACGTCACTTTTCATTGGATAATCGTGACGTTTATATAGTTTTATATACACGGCTGCTGTCAATTTATAAAAAAAATCTCACCTTTTTCTTTAAAAGGAGGGAGTGTGCAGTATTATAAATTCGTTATAAATATTCCTAAAAAGTTATATGGCCGAACATAAATGGTTGTTTGCAATATAACCCTGGCTTGGCGGCTCGGGTTATATTTACAAACAACCGTTTTTATAGGGCCATATAACCTGTCAACAAACTTTATAAATAATATTTTAAATTTTTTTTTAATAGAACTGCACGTTTGTTACGTCGCTTTTCATTGGATAGTCATGACGTTTATATAGTTTATATACACGACTGCTGTCAATTTATGAATAAATTGTATTTGATTCCTCTAAATATGATGCTTGCTGTATTATAAATTCGTTATAAAGATTTTTTCAGGTTATATTGCCGTATATAAACAGTTGTTTGCAATATAACCTTCGTCTAGCGGTTCGGATTATATTTGCAAACAACCGTTTATCTAGGGTCATATAACATGCAAAAATCATGACGCATTAATAGTCTCACTAATAAAAAAGGAAAGCGAATGGAAACAAAAAAAAGAGTTTTTTTAACCATTTATTAACTTTACATTGCATTAAATTAAATTGGATATACAAAAAATATTGAAATTGATACAAATTGTATTCGTCTGCATTTTTTCAACTCAAATAGCAGACGGACATAACTTTTAGATAATTTGTACGAAATATTTTACTAAATTCATTCAAAATGTCTTAAGAATACCTTTTTGCTGTATTCACTGAGCATCTCACATTATATTTTTTCTACTGTATACATTCTTTTAAAAAAATCAACTTTGGTAGTCACGGTCATTACTAAATTTGAAATGCACCTAAGAAACTTTGCTCTGGCTTAACTGTAATGAACATTAAACTATTTATAGTACAGCTGACAGATGTCGATATATATGGAGCGCCGAAACTGCCTTATATTATTCCTTATAAAGATTTTTGACAGGTTATATGGCCCTATATAAACGATTGTTTGTAAATATAAACACTGACACCATTAGAATTGATTTGTTTTAATTCAACACGTGAATGAATTATAATAAAATGTCAATTACTTCTGTTTCAGAACTAAAAGATGAACTTATTACGTGGTACAACACCGATCACAGTACAGTTCCTCTTTCACCACTCATAGATGATCCCCATACACCTCTAGCCGGGTTCTACATTATGCCAGAAATTGACATACAGACTAATTTACTAGGCAGAAGGAAAGAAACAACTAGAGTCAAGTCGTTACAGGGCCTGTTTACATCTGGTAGAAAAGTTCCACGTGAAATATATTTATCAGCTGCTGCTGGATTTGGGAAAACAGCATTTTCAAAATATCTTGCTATAACATGGTGCCAAGCTCATAAAAAGGATGAAAATTATAACCACTTTAAAAAAGAAGAATTAGAGGCTTTATCTGGCTTCGAGTTTTTATTTCTAGTGCTATTGAGAGATTCAGCTAAAGTATGTGATGTCGACGACATGATTGAACAACAAGTCATACAATATATGCCTAGCTCATCTTCAATGCCGAAACTTCTTTTGAAGGACATTTTACATGATGAAAAATGTCTTGTTATATTAGATGGACTAGATGAATGGACTCATCCTGACAACAATTGTACAAGACTTCCTAAAAGTATTCCACATCGATATGCACGTGAAAAGTGTGTAATTTTAACAACGACTAGGCCATGGAAACTTGGGGTCTCAAACTTGAAGACGAATCAAATAGACAAAGCAGTAGAGCTAGTTAAAATAGATAAACACAATGCAAAGCAATTTAGCTTAAACGCAATGAAAATATTAAAAGGCAATATTGAAGAAGAAATTCTGATCAATGAAGTGTGCAGATTTGAAGAATCAATCAGTGACCATGATCTTGACGATATGGAATCTACCCCTCTTCTGTTACTCTATCTTATATGCTTATGGGTTGCAGATATTCCGATAGGTAATTCAGCAGTAGAATTATATACAGGCATAATTCAGCTCCTTCTATCTAGAACAGAAAAGTTACATGGAAAGTTTCATTCATCGTGTGAAATATCCCCTAGTAATGTTCCTGAATGTTTCAGAAAACATCAACATTTCTGTAGTTACTACACGTTTCTGAAGACCATTGGGAAACTAGCTTTTTACACATTATTCAGTAAGAAAAAGGAGCACAAATTAGTTTTTGATAAAAATGTTGCAGAAATATATCTTTACCCAGAAGATTTGAAATCAAGCTGTTTATCAGGAATATTATCAGAAAATAAAGTGAAAACAATAATAAATGAAAATTCTAAAATATCATTTTCACATAAAACAGTGCAGGAATACTTTTCAGCAATATTTATAAGTTTTCAAAATACAAATGAAGTTCAGAAAATCATCTTTAAAGAGTGCAACTGTTTACCAAATATTCTGGACATGTCAAAAGTGTTTGCCTTTATTAGTGGTATGAACCCTAAATTAATGTCTACAATATCAAGTGATTTCATGCCTGTAATAACCAATGATAAAAAAACAAGCAAATACAGAACTATGACATATTATGATCACATGTACATTGATCCATTACATAACATACAAGACATGTACATTTGTTGTGCCAAAGAAAGCCAGGAAAACAAAGACCTCAAATTGTGTTTACAAGATTTCTTCATTAATGAAAAATGTCAACAAGAAAACTACTTCAAGCAATTACAACGTCTTTGTCACCAAAATAAAGAAAATATAAAATCAATAATGATACATAATAAATGTACTTGTAGTGTACAAGAAATTATCAATTTATTTACACTCTCTGACCTTCCACATATAGAGAAATTATACTATAAAGGTGAAATTGTAGAAGAGGAAATAATGAGCTTGTTATTGAACCCTTTAAAATGTTTAACTGTGGCATCAAGTAAATGGGAAAATCATGAATTTGTAGAGAGAAACGTTGCCAGCTGTCCCTGCAGAGATTAAATGGAGGACTGGTAAAAATTTAAACAAACACCTGGAGTGTTTAAATATAGAGGTTTCACTATGACCCACGAGGTAATGGAGGTAATTGTTAAATTTCCTCACTAGTAAAAAATCAATGAAAGAAATATCATTGGACAGATTATACTGTAGTACCATGGTACTTTATGTAGGGATTCAACCTTGACCTGTCCCCAACATTCACAACTAAGATGTTTAGGATTGAACCTGATACCTGTGTACAAATTAAAAATGGATGTATCATTGTTAGAGGAATGTGGTGTAGGTGAATATTATAAACCTGGTGTTTGTGTCATCTTATCTCAGTCAACTACCAGCTGCCAGTAAACTACAAACATTTCAGTGTAGTAGTCTAGAATCTTCCAGTGACATAGAAACAATGTTACAAACATTATCATTGTTATATCATGTGAAAGTTGTTGGGTTGTATTACATCAAACTAGGTGAAAGATCATTAACACTGTCACCTCAAATGATCAATATTGAACGTGTTCACTTGTTTTATATAACAATGTCTTGTTCAGTGTTATATGATCTCATTACTGTTATAAACAAACTACCACATACAGTGACAGTATGGATGTATGGTTGTGATATAAAACCAGAAACAGAATTTGAAAACTTTAAAACATTTATAAAACAATCAGACAATTTTGTGTTCACCTATGATGGCCCCTCGAAGTCTGGAGAGTACAGGTTTGTGTTTAAAACAACAACAAGTACTGAGTAACTTTAAATGAACTTGTGAGAAACAATTTATAAATAGATTATGAGACAAGTGACAGGTGAAATAGACATCATTTTTTATTTAATCAATATTCTCAGGTGAATGTTTTATAGAGATGGATACAAACACCAACCTGAAAAAAATATTTTAATTATAAAGAGAACTAGAGAGTCATTTTTGATGTACGACACAATGGAATTATCCTCAATTTAGTGATGATTGATCTTATGCGTTGAAAGTCTAAAGGTCAGTAGTATTTACTCTTATTGTTACAGCATTTAAATCAGTTTTAGAGCTAAGATTTAAAAGTTTTATATTTATATTTATTAATTTTGATGTTAAATTATTAATTTTTAAAATTTAATTTATTTGAATAAGAATTTAAAGTTACACGAATTTAGCTTATAGTCTTCAACCTACCCGTTTATAGCTCGACTTTTTTTTCTTTTTTTTTTTTGAAAAAAAAAGTAGAGGTATTGTTATAGTCGCGACGGCGTTGCCGTCGCCGTCCGCAAACTTGTAACCTGGATGCATAACTTTTTTTTATTTCTTGAATGTATTGTCTTCATACTTGGCCACAACAACCCTTGGACAAGACCTTTCAGTAGACCACACTAACCTTGACCTTCAGGCCATAAAATGACCTTGACCTTCAAGGTTAAAAGTCCAAAATTTGCTTGTTCATGCTGTTATTGGTGTAACTTTTGTTATTTTTGAAAATGGATTGTCTTTCAAACTTGAACATAATAATCTTCAAGGATATCCCTTAAAAATAAACAGACCAGACCTTGACCTTTCACATCATTAAATGACCTTGACTTGAAGGTCAAAATTATTGAAATTTTCATTTTTTTGGCTATTATTGGCTGTAACTTTGTTTATTTTTGAATGAATTGTCTTCAAACTTGAAACCATAATAATCTTCAAGGATAACCCTTAAAAATAACCAGACAGACCTTGACTTTCACTCTTTAATGACCTTGACTTTGAAGTTCAAATTATTGAAATTTTCATTGTTTGGCTGTAACTGGCTGTAACTTTGCTATTATTGAAGGGATCAACTTCATATTATAACAGAACATACTTAAAGACAAGACCTTGTTGTGTATCAAACACTTGGGCTCTTTAATGACCTTGACCTTGAAGGTTAAATTACTGAATTTTCTCAGATTTGTGCATTAAATGACCATTTATATTTATTGGTGACACGACCACGTAAATCTACCACGTGACACCACCACGTCACTTTACCACGTCACTTCACCACGTGACTCTACTACGTCACTCCACTACGTGACTTTACCACGTGACACCACCACGTGACTTCACCACGTAAATCCACCACTTGACACCACCACGTGACTCTACCACGTAACTCCACGTGACTCTAAGACGTGACTCCACCACGTGACACCACCACGTCGTGACTCCATCACGTTCGTGACTTAACCCACGTGGACAGGCCCACACATGACTTTAAAACCACGTGACTCGGGGCCAGCGTGACTCCACCATGTGAATTAACCACGTGTTACCACGTGAATTCCACACGTGACTTCCACCACGTGTCAACCACGTGACACACACCACGTGTATCTATTAATAGAATTGCAATGTTTCTATTTATATAATTTTCTATTTATGAGAATTGTGTGTTTTCTATTTACATATATATATATATTATATATATATATATATATATATATATATATATATATATATATATATATATATATATATATATTATATATATATATATATATATATATATATTATAAATTAGTATATTTATATATACAAAATATATGACAAAACTTGTATGACAAGTCAGACAGGATTAATTTTATAAAAAGGAAATGTTAAGATTTTGTTCAAACATTTAGTGAAAGTAAAAAGTCGAGCGTTGCCCCCGCCCGGCGGTGGCTCTTGTTATCTAAGTAAGCCAGTGTATATACAATTTTTAACAGTACAGCACTACAGTGAATATTTTTTCTTCGTTTCAGTGCACTTTAATAGATATGTACATGCACCTACTCGACATGTGCACCTGTATGACAAACTAAGTAAGTTATTTTTACTTGTACCTCTTTGTGCTTCTCGTGTATTCCTTTTAATTAGGGTCTGTTATATGTCCGATAGTAATAACTGTAAAACTATATCTACACAGTGTATATACTTATGCACCATTTTAGCTCGTGTTTCGAGCAATTATAATTGTTGTGGCACTGTCGTCATTCAAAAACTTTTATGTTATTACTAGTAAAAGTATCAATATGAAACTTTGAATGACAATTTGCAGTTGTTAGACAAAGGGCACAATTCTGAAATCTATATTTTTGGAGTAATTCCCCTTTTTACTTAGAAGTTTTGTCAAAGGTGGTTATTTTAACAGACAAGCTTGAACACACACCGCATGTGGTGCTCTTGTATTTTAACCCACCCTCAGGAAATTTAGATTTTCTGACATCTTACCGTGTTCGACAATGTCCGTTCCAAAAGCCATTTAAAGCCCCTAATGAAAATACAATTTTTGATGCCGCATATGTCAGTTCTGGTGTCAGAAATTTTTTAACCATCAGTTGAATATTTCATTGTTTAACACAATGATTAAAATATTGCTCTATAGTTACAATGTAATAATGGTACAAATTGATGTGAGATTAACGATGTTACTTCAGTGTCTTTGCAACGTGATAGATAAGCATGTTTTATTTTTCTATATTTCAGAGGATCCCTTACTGTACAATTGCTGTATCACACCGTACAATCAAATGGGCAGACAGCTGTTCCAGCGTCCACAGCTGTACCAGTATATACATGTCGGCGCGGGGAATACAATTGACGTACGATAAGTATTCATCTATTTTAACCTATCCAAACTGTGTTCGAGTAAATCAATGTAATGGATTCATAGTCAACATCCAAAGAAGCATGCTAACAATTTCTGGCCCTGTGCAAGCTTTAACTTTCACATGAATTTTTGACTGAAAAAATAACCACAGTAGTCCGATGAGATGCGGTATTAATTTAGTTTGAAGTCACAAAAAACTTATATTTTCTCAATGATAATTAATCCTTTTTTCAAACGATTCGTAAACGTCAACATTTTGTCACTAAATATTCCAAACCATACCTTCAAAAAAGCTTTTCTGTTAAAGTTATAAGGTATTTAAGTTTGAGTGTCATCAAAATTTTAGTAACGTCATCAGCTGTTCGCCTCTTTTTAATGATACCATCGACAGCAATTCATCGGCAAGGATGAATAACGCTGAAAGCTGTTCAAAGAAACAATTTTCAGAGCTTTTGTCCTACAGTAACTAGGAAAAAGTAAAACTCTTTTGTTCATTTAAAATATTACTTTATTCATGATACTTTCTGATTATATTATTTTTATTATTACTTTCTATCATTTGTTGTATCTTAGCTGAGAGGCCTATATCTCCATTTACCGCACTGTATTTCAATATTGATATTGTTCATATGAATGAATGAATGAGTGAGTGAGTGAATGAATGAATTAATTAATTAATTAATTAATTAATAAACGAACGAACGAACGAATGAACAAACGAACGAATGATGCAATATAGTATATGCTAAAACAAATTGTCTGTAGAAAGTATATGAGTTGTTATATTCTAAAAATAACATATTATACATTCATTTTGCTTCCTATGTATGTCCTGTTGTTGTTGTTGTTTTCTTTTTCAGAAGGCCACATTGGAAATAAGATTAAATGATTGTTATTGTATGTTATTAATGTATAACCTTTTTTTAAATAAAGATATTATTTTTATTATTATTATTATAATATAAAAAGGTAGCAAGATCTATTAATATGTTTCTGAAATGTTAAATTCAAAGAAAGTAAAGGCAAATTAAACGCTTAATACGAATACTCTGTATTATAACTAAATCCATCAAGTGTTATTATAAATAATGGCATATAGTAGACATGTCCCATGCAGTAAATGGATGTGTAACCCGAGATGTCTGCCATATAAAATGATTTATTTAAAAAACAAAAATTTGAATATTTTTTAAGAATGGTTATTATTTCTATTGCACTATACATTAAAACAGATTTCAAGGATAAACAACAACATGTTTTTCCATGCACTTTCATATCTCGGGTTACACAGCCATTCACTGCGTAGGACTTGTCCATTTTGTGATTTTTTTTATAATTACACTTGATGGATGCCTTCATTTACAAGACTGAATATTCATATTAAGCGTTTGCCTTTTGACTTAAACATTTCATAAACCTATTACAGGAACTCCACTGAGGTTTATAAGCCTAAAACATGAAATTTTATTTTTTCACATAAAAAAACATGAGCACTAAAACATAAATATAAATAAAATATAACCAAGAAATATAGGAGAAATACATTGAAAATCATATGTTTGTGCTATTCTCAGTCCGATTTGAGTGAAAAGCGTTTAAACTCTTTTCAATTGTTGGTCATTTTTTCACTATTATAATATTCTGGAAAAACGGAGCAAGCTAATGATCGGAACTTTTGCATATAAGTTATTAGTATAGATCTACATCAAATGGAGAAATAATCTCAAAAAATTATTTTCAGTCCCGTCATGTCAAAAAACCTTAGTGGAGTCCCTTTAATAGGTTTTGCTACCTTTTTATATTGAAATACAGTGCGGTAAATGGAGATCAAGGTCTCTAACCTAAGATATAACAAATAATAGAAAGTAATAATAAAAATAATATAATTAGAAAGTATCATGAATAAAGTAATATTCTAAATTAACAAAAAAGTTTTACTCTTTCCTAGTTACTGTAGGACAAAAGCGCTGTTGTAAATACATGTAATTGTTTCTTTGAACAGCTTTCAGCGTTATTCATCCTTGCCGATGAATTGCTGTCGATGTTATCATTAAAAAGAGGCGAACAGCTGATAACGTTACTAAAATTTTGATGACACACAAACCTCAATACCTTATAACTTTAACAGAAAAGCTTTTTTGAAGGTATGGGTTGGAATGTTTAATGACGAAATGTTGATGTTTACGAATCGTTTGAAAAAAGGATTAATTATCATGAGAAAATATAAGTTTTGTGACTTCAAACTAAAAATTCCGCATTTCATCGGATAGTGTGGTTATTTTCAGTCAAAATTCATGTGAAGTAAAGCTTGCACAGGGCCAGAAATTTGTAAGCATGCTCCTTTGGATGTTGACTATGAATCCATAACATTGATTTACTCGAAGACAGTTGGGATATGTTAAAAATAGATGAATACTTATCGTACGTCAATTGTATTCCCCGCGCCGACATGTATATACTGGTACAGCTGTGGACGCTGGAACAGCTGTCTGCCCATTTGATTGTACGGTGTGTGTATACCCGAAAACATAGCAAACAGACCGCTTATGTCCAGTTTCCACTGATATATGACAATCGTGTATATGCCAAACAATACAATTTGATGCATTCGTTGGATAACAGATCTTGATCTTCAACAAAAAATAATACATGTGTTGAAAGTAATGAAAGTACTTGTGTGGTTTTTGGTCGGAAGTTTTATTATTGATATAAAATCATAATTGTCTCATATTAACGTAAATTAAAGTTGTTTACAAGTTTATGTCATGATCATTTCTGTAAATTTTTTACTCCGACATACAGTAGAATATTGTAAATGTTTTATTGTAAATATTATATTTTTAACTGTGCTATGAGAAAAAATGTGCAGCATGGTCGACAGTCGAGCCCAGTACCGTCAGAATACCGTTTTGCAGCACTGCCGACTGAACTTGACGGTCGCTTACACCTTGTCTCCCTATACTAGTTTAGCTTTTGTTAATGATGATAGAAGGAAGGTAACCTATTTCGTATTCAAGCCCTAATGTGATCATGATTATATTTCCTTATCCACGAAGCTCACATTGAATAAGTCTATAATACATTATTTGCAAATAGTTTTTCTATGCATCATACTATGTATATTATATAACTTTTGATTTTTTTTTTTTTTTTTTTTTTTTTTTTTTTTTTTTTTTTTTTTTTTTTTTTTTGTTTTTTGTTATTTTTTTTTATGTTTTTTTTTTTTTTTTTTTTTTTTTTTTTTTTTTTTTTTTTTTTTTTTTTTTTTTTTTTTTTTTTTTTTTTTTTTTTTTTTTTTTTTTTTTTTTTTTTTTTTTTTTTTTTTTTTTTTTTTTTTTTTTTTTTTTTTTTTTTGAAATGTGTTCCAGTGTATGACTTTTTACTCAGGGAACAGCAATATTTAGTACATCAATATTTAGTGCTGTAAATTGTAATATTCATCAATGTTTCAAATATGTTCAGCTTTAACTAAGGAAAATTGTCGTATCATAAATTCAGTGTATATATTTAACAAAATTGTTGTATCATAAATTCAGTGTATATATTTAACAAAATTGTTGTATCATAAATTCAGTGTATATATTTAACATCCCACATGTCATAAGTGCAACATCCCACATGTCATAAGTGCAACATCCCTCATGTCATAAGTGCAACATCCCTCATGTCATAAGTGCAACATCCCACATGTCATAAGTGCAACATCCACATGTCATAAGTGCAACATCCCTCATGTCATAAGTGCAACATCCCTCATGTCATAAGTGCAACATCCCACATGTCATAAGTGCAACATCCCTCATGTCATAAGTGCAACATCCCTCATGTCATAGTGCAAACATCCCTCATGTCATAAGTGCAACATCCCTCATGTCATAAGTGCAACATCCCTCATGTCATAAGTGCAACATCCCTCATGTCATAAGTGCAACATCCCTCATGTCATAAGTGCAACATCCCTCATGTCATAAGTGCAACAATCCCACATGTCATAGGTGCAACATCCCAAATGTCATAAGTGCAACATCCCACATGTCATAAGTGCAACATCCCTCATGTCATAAGTGCAACATCCCTCATGTCATAAGTGCAACATCCCTCATGTCATAAGTGCAACATCCCTCATGCCCCCTATCAGAGTGGTACTCGATTGACAGACATGTTGCTAAAGGATGCATTTTAAACCGGAAGACCCGTTATATTCAACATCTGATAAAGCATATAGAACGCTGGTATCATTAGTTGTATCTTCAGGAAAAACAGCAAAGTAATCAATCAAAATGAAGCTTGAAATCGAGGAAATTTTATTGCCAGCGTTTGTCTGTTTGATTGGGTTTTACGTCACACCGACACAGTGTAGTTCATATGGTGACATTCCAGCTTTACTGGTGGAGGACGACATGAGGTGCCTTCCGTGCATTATTCAGGCACGAACAGGCAACCGAGTAGAACCACCGACGTTCTGTAAGCTAGCTGGATAGCTTCCTCACATGAAATAATCCAAAGTCCCTGTCGGGAGTCGAACCCACATCGGTTAGGGGTAAGTGTTTCTCCTGCGTGTGACTACGATACATAGAGCCCGGCAATTTGGACTACCGGAATACTTGCTCGTGCATGGATGATAGATCAGCGTTTGGACTACAAACTGGTGCAATCTTAAGCGTCCAGAAGCAAAACTCATGATGTGACGGGCGGAAAACCTATGTCCGGAGGCTTCCTAGTGGTGTGCGCGTTTGTCAGTTTTTAGACCGAAAGTTGATGTCGGCGCTCTAAGTTGTCCTCTTTAGGTTCCTAGCTTTCCCACGAGATGTGTCCCATGAGTACAGGATCTGAAAATGGCGCCGCAGTGCAAGAAAAATGTTAAGGAAAAGTGGCGAAACTGGCTTTTTGACACACATATATATTGAGCAGGGAGCATCATCGTCGGTTATCGACGGTATATAATCCGTACACACTGCATTAGATAATGTAGTATGTACGAAATATATACCGTGGG